TGACCTGGCCTTACCTGACCTGACCCGACCCGACCCGACCCTTGAAGGCTATTTGCAACCGGTGATATTATTCGACCTGACCCATGAAAGCGCTTCGCAACTGGTGATGATGCGAACAGACCGGTGGACGTTGTGCTCAACGGGGCAGTCTTTAAGCTATCATATTGAGACCATGCAACTGGTGACTGGATCTGACCCAATCCGCGAGCGGTTTGAGCTTGTTACGCCATTGACCTGACCCGACCTGACCCGAACCGATCCGAGAAATATCGGCCTCTTCAAGACCAAACTGAACACGAAAAATCACGCAAAGTAGTGAAGCTTTGTTGTGTCGCCTGTAGTAACGACTTAAGCAGTACTGAGCTATGCGGTAACCTGTAGCCCACGAACGAAATCGGTCTTGCCGCAAAAACAGTGATTGGATAAAAATTGTCCAAATTGGCCGTACACCGCATGGAGTTTCCCCAAAAGTACTGTATCTCGTAGGTGCTCATGTTCATCTATATAGACTATATAAGTACACGTTTTCGATGCCCAAAACTTGTTACTGCGAACCTGTTGTGTCATTGTTGTTCAACAAATAGGTGTTCGTGTTCGTGTTTCACACCTAGGTTTTCGGTAATAAACGTTGTACATTGTGAACTAGATTGTTTCGATGAGTATTTTCTGAGTACGTGCGTGTTCGTGTTCGTTCATCACAATATTAGCGTTTGTGATGGTACAGAAAATAATATTTTTTTATCCGGATTGTTCCGATTTCTGTTCAATGAGTAAGTGTTCATTTTCGCGTATCACCATACTTGCGTTTTCGATGGTACATATAATATGCAGTTGTGCTCCGGGTTGTTTAGGAACAATTTGTAGGTGTTCGTGTTCGTTGATCACGTTGTTAACGTTGTTCGTTTGTACAAATAATATGTTGCGATTTAGAGTTGGTTCGGTTTCACTTCAGGGAGTATCTCTAGCCGTCTGTAGACGTTAATTGCGATCCCAACGGTTCCAGCTATATCGCAATATGCACACCATTGTGTGAAATAAGCTCCAGTTCCCATGTGGTACTTGGAACATAGAATTGAAAGTAGCACTTGTATTTGTGAATGGGCACTAGGAACGACCTATCAGCGTCGGCAATGGCTTTCTAGCCTGTTGATATGAGCTCTCAAGATTATTGGCCTGCGCAGACGTATTTTATGGTTCGTTCCTGGCCGCATCGAATGGTTTGAATGAACATATTCTGGGTGCTTACGTGCTCGGTTTGCTTCTCCGGTATAGTGCCGAGCAGTCATGGTTCACAATGAACTGTATCAGCGGTGAGGGCAGTTCATGAAATACGAGTTCGATGCAGTCATATCGAGTGCCGGGAAAGCAAACACCCTTCAAACTGTGCGGCTGCACCAGCGAAAAACGTGTCAATCTGGTGCGGGGACAATTCCAGCTCCTCTGGGGTGTGCAAATCCATCGATATACAAAAGCCAAAATCGCATTTTTCTACAGCACCTGGTAAATGCACACATCTTAGAGTATGTTGGCGCAGACCCTTGACCGTGTCGATCCCTGTACTTGCTCAGTACCCCGGTACTGCATTCTTGCAAAGCCCCCTTTTCGTATTTTTGTACCTGCTTGATATTCCGTGTTTTGTAGGGGGCATGCAACCAGATACATGGATGATCATGAGCGCCGTCCGGGCGGTCAGAACCTTAGGAGCCGTCGGGGACGTCAGGAAAGTGTATCATCGAAGGGCAAGGGCAAGATGCCAGTCGTGGAGCTCGCCGTGTTCACCGGGGGAAGGTTGGAGCTTTTCATCGTGAAGGCCAAGTAAGTTGACATCACAGACGGTACGAGTGGGATGGTCTTGCTGTCTTTGGCTGAAGGTCTGCCTGCTGATCCGGTCGGTCAGTTCCTGCTTCGATCTGTTGATGAGCCCTTCCTATCTGCCTGCCACTCTTTGAGATCACCAGTTCCTCCGCCTCGATCTCCGGCGCATCGGGGCGCAGATCCATATAAGCGCGGTTCCAGTACTGCCTCGCGCGCGTGAACAAGTATGTGTGCCTTTTGTCTGGTTGCATGGAGAGGATTTTGGGCGGAGGTTCCATCCCTTGCGACGCATGTAGCCCAATTTTCAATTTTCCGTCCCTCGAACACAATGAATGGCACGATACGTCGTAAGGAAGGCGCGGCAGAGTCTGATAGCTTTGAAATATGGCAGTCAGCCTCACGGGCAAAATCATTCAATTTCCCGGTCGATGGGCCAACGATTTCGAGGCTTGCACCTGACTGGCCACATTCAAGTCAGTGGGACTGCACCACACAGAAAAAGCTACCGCTATACGTCTTTTGGTCACTTCTCTCTCTCCCTGACGTTGTAGTTCCCGGTTTTGCGGAGTTTGGTTGGTGACATGCTCGCACCCTACTCCTGGTAATAACCCCCCTCGTACGCTTGGCTTGGGATACGGCCACGTGCGTGACCCTTGTTCGGAGTCGCTGGAGGGAAAACATTGCCACCACGGACAAAGCGTGACACACCGCCCCCGTCCCCCTTAGCTCGGCCTTGATACGCGTAGCCGCCAAGTAGCCATCGAGCTACAATTTCTCCTCCGTCAAGTCGTTCTTCACGCTTAGAGAGCACAACAGGCCCGAGAAGGAAGGTGTGTGCACAAACCATCTGAGCCAATGGTGCTGATCATGCTGAGGAATCGGCGAATCGTATCACGGCCGGTTCGCCTTTCCTACGTGTCAAGGGCGGCTTGCACCACGAGTAGTCAATATCGTCAACGTCAAGCCGTGTTGCCTTGGAAGACAGTTTCCCTCGATGTTCCAACGTTGGGCTTGTAAATCACTAGATGGTAGCCAAGAGTGCTTGATGTGATCCTGTTGAAGAGACACACTTCGACCTTTCAGATGCGCATTTTGCAAATATCGCGACATGTTTGGCTTGTTGTCCATTTCAAGAGAAATGTTGGACCAGGAAAACTTCCAGGAGCTTTGTACGAAACTTCCGGCAAGGTTGAGTAAAAGACGTTAGTCACCAAAGAAGCACCCTCCTTTCAAGACTAATCAAGAATGTCTAGGGTCGCGTCTAGTGGTATCCTCGCAATCCGCTAGTCGCAGAGATCGTGAGTTCGAATCCCCATGGGGTGAAAATGTTACGAAATTTGCGGGTGAAAGCGAAACATAGCTAAAAAGCTCTCGTGAGTACCAAACTTCGACGTTAGCACCGTTGACGAGGGAAAGGGACGGCTGGACCCATCTCGCGATAACAATAAAATTCAGCACGCACCGCAGAAGAAGGTGGGGCATGAAAAGAAATAAAAAGAAGAAAAAAGCCCTGGTGTTTACCCCCTCCTGTGTGACCCTGGATGGTTGTAGTTGGACGAAAATATACACTGAAAAGTGTAGTACTCTACATACGCTGAAAAGTGTAGTACACGTCTCACCACGAAAAATGGGGGGCCTGTCGCCATAATAAATAGGACGAGAACACACACACGCACACAATAGCGTATCGACTATGGAGAGATAGCGAAAAAAGTAGATACTCCCGATCGAGGGTTGCGCGTGAAAACGGGCGTTATGGCCACGTGGTGCTATTGTAAAAGCACCCCCATCACGAGGGACGTTGTACGAAGCATCTGTTATGATGATGAGAACAAGGGGGATACGTGCGAGGTCAAAGATTGGCCTGAGTGTACTGTAGGCGCTCGCGAGATGCGGTATTTCTAACGAATACTGAAACAGGTCGAACCAAATCACGAAAGAATGTCTTGGGAATCCCACACGGACTCCACATGAATCACCCTCAAGGTTATAGCGCGAAGGCTGCGGTGGTTACCCAACCCCCCAGAAATGTGCGTGAATTTCAAAAGGAACTTATAGAATAGAGTAATATTAATGGCCTCTAACGCAATATACGTGGCTGGAACAGCTCCCATTGTTGCTCGGAAACCGGTTGTACCGAGTATCTTGTCCGGCCCGGCCGGTGTTTGACCCCACTGCTGTTGCCCGTGCTTCTTGTGTTCCCTGCTCTTTCTTTACTGTCTTGTGAGTGCAGCAATCAAGGTTCTAGCGGGGTAGCGGCCGCCGGGCCATGTGGAGGAGGAGGGTCCTCCACCAGTGCCGAGAACGAAATGCACGGCAACCCACCAAATGTGAGTACTGTAAGTGATTTCAACCTCTCTGTCGCAGTTCATCTTGTGAGGTATCCACTGGTCCGTTATGGACGTGAATCCGTGTGTGGACGCTCGCACATCTGTTGATACTGTGCAAGGGCCTACGCTTGTCTGAAGCAATCGCAAAGGCTGTTCATTGATCGTCCCGATCAGCAAGTGCATGGTACATGTTTGAAGGCGAGAGAAAACCGGGTTTGCGTCCGCGGCCGAGTCCGATTGGTTCTTGTTGCCAATTGTGCAACTTCTCATCTGTTGGTTCTTTCTGTCGAGCGAGCTACACGGTCGAGTTGATTGAAGGAGGTGCGGACTCCGCATAACACTCGTGAGCGTTTTTGTGTGAAAAGGCACTCACGCTTACCCGAACGGAACATTGGACGCTCCACCGTGCACCAGGCGTACCGTGCTATCCTTCGAGAACGCCTCCTCGCATGAGAACGCCCCCCCTCGCAAAATCATAAACCGCTGGAGTAGCACGATCACGACAAGGCAGACCCGAGAGATGGGTTACAAGCCCAACATTCGTGGGTCCGCGCTGTGGGTTGTGGACAGGTGCCTCACAACAGAGAAAAGAGACGACGCCACCGAGAGTTTTCGCTCCGGAATCATTTTCCATTGTTTGACAATGTCACCCTCTGCCGTTGTGATCGGCCCCGAGTGATATTTTTGCACAACTGAAGACCCCCCCCGAGACGTTCTCAAATGATACTGTACTACGGTTATATGTGAGGCACGCGAGTACGACTCCTCCAAGGCCCCAAAACCTCAATCCCTCACCGCATTCTGTGGTGAATTCACCGGCCTTTGACATGCAGGTGCCTCGCAAACCAAGACAACATGTCGTACATTGCAGAGTTCGTGCAGGATCAATACCTGTTCATCGGTCCGGTGTCGAAGGACTTCAGGCGCGCGTGGGGGCCACGAGCTACGGTAACCCGACCCGTGGTGGCTGACACCTCAGTCAAGCAGCTCAGGTGCTGCTTGAAGCTCGACCTGCCCTTGCGCATCCGACGAACAAGCATCTGCAACGCCGCTGCCCGTTTCGGCAGACTAGACCTCCTTGAGCTTGCGCAAGAGAGCGCTTGCGGGTGGACCCCAGCGACTTGTGCTCAGGCCGCCAGGGGGGGACACCTTAAGATCATCAAATGGCTCCGCGCATAGGGCTGTGGTTGGGATGAAGACGCATGCCAGCTGGCCGCCCTCGGATGTCACGCCCGGGTCCTGAAATGGTTGAGGTCCCCAACCGAGAACTGGCCGACGGGGAGAGTGGCCCCGAATGCGTGCCCTTGGGACGAATGTGCTTGTGCCGATGCTGCGCTAGCCGGGCGTCACGACGTTGTGGAGTGGCTTCGGGATAACGACTGCCCTTGGGATGGAAGGACGGCCGCACTAGGCGGATTCTTCGACGGCCTTCAGTCGGCATTTGCTCAAGGATGCCCTTGGGACAGCGAATCCTGTTCCTGGGCCGCTTGCAGAGGAGATTTGCACATGCTGGAGTGGCTCCGGGAAAACGACTACCCATGGGATCTAGCAGGTGAAGGAGGTCCATGCGCCGGGGCTGCACGTGGCGGCCATCTTGAACTAATAAAGTGGACAAGGAGTAAAGGATGTCCATGGAACGAGCGGACGTGTGCAGAGGCAGCAAAAGGCGGGCACCTAGAAGTGCTACAATGGGCAAGAGAGAATGGGTGCGACTGGAACAGCGAAACTTGCGCGGGGGCTGCCTGGGGACAGCACCTTGGGGTTTTGCGCTGGGCGCGAGGGGAACGGGTGTCCTTGGGATAGACGGGCTTGCTCGAATGCGGCCAATCGGGGGAACCTCAAGATCCTGTAATGGCTGCGTGGAAAGGGCTGTCATTGGGATAGCGACACCTGCACGCAGGCAGCCGCGCGCGGGCACCTTAGAGTGCTGATTTGGACCCTGGCCACGACTGCGCATGGGACGGGTGCCTTTCACAAGTGGCAGACGCCAACGGCTACGGCTTCATCCGTCGCTGGGTGGGGAATCACTCGCAAGCGACAATTCAGCTTGATATCGAGTGGTGAACCGAGGCGAAGTGTTGGTGTTGATGGACCCTCGCCAAGGAATGCCCAGCCACCGTGGGCAACGTTGGAAGGAATGGTGGGCCGTATTTGGTCGGTCCCGTGGGGGAATGATGCCCCGTCATCTCGGGGACGCGTGGTCAATGGTCTAAAACCGCTAAAGGCGTAGGGTACAAAACGTGAGCAACCCCCCCCTCGACTTGCCGAATACCTCACGGCGCTTCGCGCTTGGTGATGTGTGATGTGAGAGCCTGGTCCGGTGAGAACCCGGCGTGCTCCGTCCCGGGTTTGTAGGGATGCGAGGTCAATGGTCTAACGATTACGGCATGGATGACGATGAGTGCACTCCCTCCTCCCCTCCCACCTGCGCGTCCAAGTATCGTTTCCGAGGTGCCCCCCCCCCCCCCCCCCCCCCCCCCCCCCCCCCCCCCCCCCCCCCCCCCCCCCCCCCCCCCCNCCCCCCCCCACCCCTCCCGCCCCGAATCTGGAACTAACCGAAATCGGGGTCACCCCCACTCATCCTGAGTGCTTATCGTGCTGCCGCCGTGTTTTAGAGCTCCGTTCATTTCCGTATGCGCATTTGTACATCACAAGAGCGGATTCTTGTTCTTAACACCACGCCGGAACTTAACACTTATTTTTCTTGTGGCCAAGTTCTTAGATTTTTTGGGGGGGTGGCTCATGTTCTCCACTTTGATATTGATGCTGTGGCGCGTTCTGTATATCAACTGGGACTGGTGTGAACGTGTACCACGAAGTTCGCGCAATTAGGAGCCTCGTGATCATCTACACGCCGTACCTCGGACAGCAGCAAAATGATGGTTGCGTCCATAGAATGATGAATAGTAGGAATGAATAAGAGTCTGAACAACATTCAACCACATCGGCTTGCATTTCGCTGGGTATTTCTCCTTGCGATACGTCGGGGACTACCGTCGTTTGCCGCCCGACGGGTTTGGTGGGGTATGAGCTAACCTCGCGCCCCTCAATCTCCGGAAAAATCACGAGAGGGTAGGTTGAGTCTCAAAAATTGAAGTACGCCGAGAGAGATCGGTGATGGACACCATTCACCTCCGGCTCTTGTTCCTTGAACGCTGGCTTTGGTCCCAAGGCAGTCCGTCTCGCCGTGAAGGTCTGCTGTGTTGTGTGCTTCCTGGGCAAGAAGTTTTGGCGTTGTTTCGATAAATGATATCGCGTTGTCCCTTCACCGGAAACCACCGAATGAATATGTAACAAGCGCAAAACTTTCTAAAAACCGTACCGGGGTCACACTGGTCGACGGTTTGGAATGCGTATCTGGGAACGTCTGCTGTCCTCCTCCTCTTGTCGTTGTGCTGTCCATACCACTCACTCACACTCGGGTCCCATGCATAGATCCACCATGCTCTCTACACATGAATGTATCATATCATGGACATGCAGAACGGGCAAAGTCCACATGATGATTGTCATTCTACTCCTGTAGCATTATTCACGAGCAGATTGTCGACTTGGAACCCTTCCATGTTTGCCAGTTTTTACTGCTCTTGGGCTGGCGCGAAAAAATTAAAATTCCACAACCAACTCATCCAGCGGGGGGTAGCTGTTTTCATCACGGGGCCCCCAGCGCTCGGCAATTGCCCACTCCCCGGCCGGGGCCCCCTACTGCGCATCCTACGTACGTCCCAGGAAGCCACTGCGCATCGTCATTTGATTTTAGTGTGAATCGGGGCCAAATGCCAGCAATGCAGACTTTTGGGGCACACAACTGGTTCTGCGCCCCGAAAGTTCCAGCGCAGCTTTGATTCTCGAAGATTTTTTTCATCACCACCCAGCAAGCGTCGATAGCAACACCACGCACAACGGCAGCGGACGGTGGCGCAACGGCGGGTCGCCAGCCTGGTTCATGTCTGCAGCTCCCGGGCCAGATGATGATCGCGGCGGCCATGGCAGGGCAGACAGACACAGGTCAGACAGATATGAAGCGCCAGCAAACAAGATGTTCACCTGTCACATGTGTCTCAGGCACGTGAACAGCGGCCAGAAGAGGATATCTATACGGGTTCCTCCTGATCAGAATCCACACGGGTTCGATCATTTTTGTGCGGATTGCGATCGATCGGAGGACAGCCTGCAGCGACGAGTTTCGTATGATTGTCATGGCACAGTGGGCAATGTAGGCATATCTGGGCGAACGCCTAGTTCCAGTGGTGGTAGCTCAGAGAACCGGCTGCAGCAAACAACGATGTCCTCACAAGTAGCAGCGGCAGCGGCCGCTGCCGCCGCTGCCGCCGCAGCAGCAACAGCAACAACAACAACAACAACAAC